CAGGCGGGGCCTCCCTGAGGGGTGGGAGGGCACGAACCATGTAAATAGTATGGTATTCGTACCCTCCTCGCTCAGGCGGGCCTCCCCTGAGGGTGGGAGGGGCACGAAACCATGTAAATAGTATGGTATTCCGATACCCTCCTCGCTCAGGCGGGGCCTCCCTGGAGGGGTGGGAGGGGCACGAAAACATGTAAATAGTATGGTTGTCCGATACCCTCCTCGCTCAGGCGGGGCCTCCCTGGAGGGGTGGGAGGGGCACGAAACCATGTAAATAGTATGGTATTCCGATACCCTCCTCGCTCAGGCGGGGCCTCCCTGGGAGGGGAGGGTCGTAAATAGTAGGTATTCCGATACCCTCCCTCGCTCAGGCGGGGCCTCCCTGGAGGGGTGGGAGGGGCACGAAACCATGTAAATAGTATGGTATTCCGATACCCTCCTCGCTCAGGCGGGGCCTCCCTGGAGGGGTGGGAGGGGCACGAAACCATGTAAATAGTATATGGTATTCCGATACCCTCCTCGCTCAGGCGGGGCCTCCCTGGAGGGTGGGAGGGGCACGAAACCATGTAAATAGTATGGTATTCCGATACCCTCCTCGCTCAGGCGGGGCCTCCCTGGAGGGGTGGGAGGGGCATGCACGCCATGGTATGGTATGGTACGGTATGGTACGTATGGTGTGGTGGTATGGTATGGTATGGTATGGTATGTGTGGTAGGAACTATGGTATGGTATGGTGTGTGTGGTAGGAATAATATTGTGCTGTATGGAAGATGGAGCGGGAGGTGGGTGGGAAGGAGAGGGTGTTCTGGGAAAACAAGAACCCCACTCAGGATGTGGGGAAAAATGTCAGAACGACGAATGTGCGCGGCGCTAAGGCGAGAGCCACATATTGAACACCACTCGCCCTCAACCCGTGAAGCACTTGCAAAGTTTGACAGCGAATGTGTGCGGCGCTCAGGCGAGAGCCACATGTTGATAACCATCCGCCCTCAGTCCGTGAAGCCCTTGCGAGTTTTTATCAGCGAATGTGCGCGCCGATGAGGCGAACACCGCATTTGGAAACGACCCGCCCTCAATCCGTAAAGATCTGACACATGTTTAAGACGAGTGTGCGCGGCGCGGGGGCGAGAGCTACATTTTGGAATCGACCCGCCCTCCATCGGTGAAGCTGTTGCCAGTTTTGAAGCTTCAGGCTCGTAAGTGGTAGAGAAGTTCCAGGCGAAACGCCATGCCCGCCCTTCCGACTGGCCTCGGGGTGCGACAAGGAAGAGTTATGCATAAGGACAATCATGGAGGAGCAGGGGGAGGGGGCGGAGGAGGAGGAGGAGGAAGAGGAAGAGGAGGAGGAGGATGAAGAAGAGGACCAGTGCAAACCCAAGCCTCTTGAGCGCGGGGGCGCGTGGGGGAAAGAGGAGGCGGAGGAGGATAATGAGGCGAAGGCGGAGGAGGGGGAGCACGAGGAGGAGGAGGAGGAGGAGTACTAATAACAATATTCATAGAACTCATAATGGGACGACGAACGCTAATACGAATACGGATAAGAATAATGATATCGCTAACGATATTACGAAACATATTAATCATATTATTGATGCTACGAACAAGGATAATACGTTGACTGTTAATAATAACACCAAGAAGAATGATCAAACTAAGTCCATTGTTCATCATGGTGATATTAAGAAGTACGGTAATATTAAGGATCATGATGGTAATAACCAGAAGGCGAAGACGCAGTTCACACCGAATCTTACTAGCAATACTACGACTCGTAATATGAGTAACAAGAATACTACTAATACTACCCAGAAGACTAGTAATATACTTGAGTATAAAAATCAATGACAGTACCAACCTGATTGCTACGGCTAATCTGACTAATACGACGGATACGAATAACAAGAACACACGAGTCATACTATTACGACTACGATTTATAGTCAGAATGAGAACAATCATACGACGAACAATAATATTATTAATGCAACCAATGCGAGCATACTAATGGTTTCACGAATATGATGAATACTCGTATTAGCGGTAATTACACATATATATATATATGTATATATATATATATATTTATACATAGATATATGATAATAAGAGCAAGACTAATAACCATACCAATGATCAGACTTCCAAGAGTATTAATACTACGAGCACGACTAACAACCATAACCATAATACTATTACTCAGGATACTAATCAGACCTCGAATGCTAATACGGCGATGGCTTATATAGGAATGTTGACGCTCATCGTAATCATACTAATGAATATACTTATTGAGAGGAATTCTGACACGTATAATACTAATACTACTATTACTAATACTACCACTAATGATAATGACAATACTAATAATGTTAATCTTACTAATCATACTAATACTAATAAAGGATATTCACACTAATCACAAGAAGAAGAGGAGAAAGAGGCGGTGGAGGGGGAGGAGGAGGAGGAGGATGAGGAGGAGGAAGAGAAAGAGGATGATGATGAGGAGGATGAAGACATGAGCGTGGTTTCTTGGGACAGAACGCCCTGGCAATGCCAAGCGACAATGAGCCCAGACGGTGGGGAGGTACAGCAGGCACGAGCAGGGCCTAGTCGCCTTGTGACTTGCTGCCCCGCCGACCACACCTTGCACAGCCACGGTTCACCCGTGGGGTCCCCGCGGACCAGTCGCTAACAGGGGCTGCGCAACCGCCATAGCTCAAAGAGCTGCAGGGCCAGTACAGGGCGACGGCTGGCAGGCACGCGCAAACGGGCTCCCACAGGGAACACGAAATTTCCAAGCTGGGGATTGCTGCCCGGGAGTAGACCCGAATGTCCCATAGTGCCCACGTGCCATGTGGCACCGCCACGCCGCGGACATGCGCGAGCCGCCCGCAGCTGTCGCCGCAGCAGTGGGCCATGGTTCACATCGCTATGCCTGCAGATTCTCAACGGGTGAAGAACGGTATGAAATAAGTATTTTCGCTGTCGTGGGCGCCTGTCCCAGGGCGGCTGGAAAGTTCAGACCCTTACGGTGGCGCGTCAAGGTATAAACTTTCCAGCCGCCCTGGGGCAGGCGCCCCCGACAGCGGAAATGTTTATCTTATTCCGTTCTTTGCCTGCTCAGATTCAGGGGAGCCGAACTCGTCACTGTCCGCTTGAAGAAGCGGGCTCCTTCCTGCGCCTGCACACCGTGCCGACCGCTTTCGCCAGTACGCTCCACAGCACGTGCGGCACTGACACCATGCAAACAGGTACCAGGCCCCCGCTCGGGGCGGAGCAGGAGGAAGAGGAGGAGGAGGAGAAGGAGGAGGAGGAGGAGGAGGGAGGAGGAGGAGGAGTAGGAGGAGGAGGAGGAGGCTTGGTGATCCCGAGTCGCGCCAGAACGCCGTTCCTGGGACTTCAACACCAACGTAACTGTTGCGCCCGGCCAATCCTGAATCGTTTCAAAAAACCATGGTTGGTACGTTAATTTTGAGAAGCCGTGAAATTTTTGCAATCTTGTAAACAATCGTGCGCGGCGCCAAGGCGAAAACCACATTTTGAAAACCACCCGCCCTTAATCCGTGAAACTCGAAACTCTTGCACAGTTTGTCATCGAGCGTGCGCGGCGCTCAGGCGAGAGCCCCCAAAGGCCCGCACTCAATCCGTGAAGACCTTGCTTGTTTTAAATCGAAAGTGCGCGGTGCTAAAGCGAGAGCCACGTTTTGGAAGCGACCCGCCCTCCATCTGTGAAGCTGTTGTCAGTTTTTAAATTTGAGGCTCACTAGAGGTAAGGAAATTTCATGCGAAACGCCCGGCCCGCCCTTCCGACTGGCTTCGGGGTGCGACGGGGAGGAGTTATTCGTAAAGGGAAATGGGCGGAGGAGGAGGAAGAAGGAGGGGGAGGATGAGAGGAGGAGGAGGAGGAGGAGGAGGAGGAGGAGGAGAAGGAGGAGGAACAGATGGACGAAATGGAGGAGGAGGAGGAGGAGGAGGAGCAGGAGGAAGAGGTCCAGAAGAGTTCCAGGGATACATCAACGATGCTGTACTGCACCCTCCCGTCCCAGGCCCCCCCCCGAATCACTTCCTGCAAGCATCTCTTTGTATCCTTTTGGGCTCCAGGAAGTGCCGCTCTGAAATGCGAGAAGTAGATCTCTGGCGAGGGCCCCATTTTGAAAGGACCCCCCTTTAATTAATGCAATGTTTACGAACGAATATGCGCGGCGCTAAGGCGAGAGCCGCGTTTTGATGGGACCGCCCTCCATTCTTGTTTGGGAATTTTCAAACGGATGAGTGAGTTCGGCGCCACGGCGAGAGCTCCATTTCGAAAAGGAGCCGCCCTCACTCCTTGTAAGTGTTAAAGGCTGTTGTAGACGAATCCTCGCAGTGCTGAGTGGAGATCGCCTTTTTGACAAGAAGCCGCCCCCGTCCTGTCAGCTGCTGCGAGCTTGTACGACCAACCTGCGCGGCGCTAAGGCGAGAGCCCCATTTTGAAGAAGGAGCCGACCTCTCTCCCGGTAATCGCGGCAAGCTGTTGATACGAAGGTGCGTTCGTGATGGTACGGCGATGGCCCAATCCTGAAGAGCCACCCTCTCATCGTAGCTCTTGGAATCTTCAGGCTTCAGGATCACACGTGGGGAGGGGAGGAAGTCTCAGGCGAAGCGCTCAGTCCGCCCTGCCGACACGTCTGGTGGTGAAACAAGCATGACTTACCCATAAGGGAAAGGGTGGATGAGCAAGCGGGATGATTATGTAGGAGAGAAGGGGGAGGAGGAGAAGGAGGAGGAGGAGGAGGAAGAGGAGGAGGTGGAGGTGGAGGAGAAGGAGGAGGAGGAGGAGGAGGAGGAGGAGGAGGAGAAGGAGGAGGAGGAGGACGGACAAGTGGGGTGAGCAGTGGCGAGGAGGAGCTCCGCGAGTCAGGGGAAGACGGCAGGAGCAGCACGCTGGACGGGAAGGGAGATTTTTTGAGGGATAGCCAGACGCCTTCCCTCGATCTTCCTGCCGTTCTCGCGCTCGCCCGCAGCTGTGGACGCCAGATGGCCAGCTTCGGGGCGGTCTGCACCCAGCTGGCACTCGCGGGCCTCTGCGGCGTGCGCTTCTCCGTGCCGCTGTTCTTCGTGAGCCTGCTCGCGGAGGACCCGGCCAGCGAGCGCCACGAGCAGTTCTACTGCCTCGGCACGGACTGGTTCCGATGGGCTGTGGGCCTGGCGACCGCCTGGGCCGCTTCAAAGATGGGGGGCACCAGTGCAATCGGAAAACCAACTCGGGTGAGCTGGCCCGAAAGCGCCGCGCGGTGAATCCGCAGCTGAAGCTGGGAAAAGGAGAAGTGAAGGAGGAGGAGGGGGAGGAGGAGGCGAGGAGGAGGAGGAGGAAGAGGCGGAGGAGGAGGAGGATGAGGAGTAGAGGAGGAGGAGGAGGAGGAGGAGGAGGAGGAGGAGGAGGAGGAGGATGGAGAGGAGGAGAGGAGGAGGATGAGGAGGAGAGGAAGAGATGAGGAGAAGGAGGAGAGGAGGAGGAGGAGGAGGAGGAGGGGGAGAGGAGGAGGAGGAGAATGAGAAGAGGAGGAGGAGGAGAAGGAGGAGAAGAGGAGGAGAAGGAGAAGAAGTGAAGGAGAAGGAGGAGGAGGAGGAGGAGGAGGAGGAGGAGGAGGAGGAGGAGGAGGAGGAGGAGGAGAAGGGGGAGGAGGAGGAGGAGGCAAGCTGCAGATAAATGGAAAGGGCCCACCCTGCAGGATGTGTCGACAGCACATCGTTGAGCGACGCTGCAACTAGGGTCTCGCCCTCGGGGGCAGCCGACGCTATCTTCTGCTCGCCGGCGGGGGGGCAGGCGGACGCTGGCGGTAGCAGAGCGGTGGCCAGCTCCGCCGGCAGGAGCGAGCAGAAGCAGAAGAGGCCCAGCCAAGGGCTGCCGTGTGGTTATGAGCTGGCCACCTCGTGGGGGGGTGCAACCCCAATTCCCGATTGGGTGGGGCAAAGAATTCTGGGCTCAGCTCGAGGATACACGATGGGGGTGGCGTCCATCCTCGAGTAGCCCTCTGGGGGTGTGTCCCCTATGTGTGTGTGTGTGTGTGTGTTAGTGTGTTTGTGTTTGTGTGTGTGTGTGTGAGTGTGTGTGTGTGTGTCGTGTCGACGCGGCGGCGATCCCGGCACGAGCGCTCAAGGTTTAGCGCCGCCAGTGGCCTGAAATCGGTCGCCATCGAACGGTTCGCGCTGCCGGAAGGCCGATGTCGCTCAAGGCGGAGCGGTCCGCGCGGCGTCGTCACAGGACGAAGCCCCGCTGCACCATCGGGCCCAGACAGGCCCCAGCCCCCGACTTGGTGGGATCCTTCCGATCGGCACATGGGGGGGGAGGGTCCATCCTCAAGGAGCCCACAGTCTCTGCTCTTTCCTGGACCACCAGCTTCGGGGGGGAGGCGGGGGTTGACGGCGAGATATCACCTGTGAGATGCGGCGGCCAATGCGGGAGGGGCCTTTCGCACTCAGATGCAGTCCCAGCGGCGGCCGAAGGCCAGAGAAGGGACGCCGTCGCTCTCGAGGCACACCTCGAGCATGGATTTGGTGTGTAAATGGGGGGGTTCGCATGGCCGTGAAGGTCTACATGATCTGAGCGGCTCTGTCTTCTCCTCTCTGCTGTTCTTCCCGCGCTTCGCCGTGCCTCAATTAGCTTCTGGCACGCCCCGCCCGTTTCCTTGAATGGCACCTGCACCTGCTTCGGCTCGCCTGCGCCCGCATGGCCTCCCCAGATCTCCGTGTACATGGCCTCCCCAGCCTGGCGGGGAGCCCGTTTTGCGCCCTCCCTGGCCTCAGTTTCGAGATGGGCCCGCAGTGAGGCATAATATCGGCGTGTGTCCCCCCCTCTCCCCAGGTGATGATGGTCGAGTGCGCCGTAGACTTCCTGCCGAGAGATGTGCGGGAGGAGATGGGATCAACAATTTCCACCCCCCTTGATTCCTCGCCTCCCAAATGGATTCCCAGCAGATGGGCGGAGGATCCCGTCACACGCCGATGCACAAGCGATGCGTCTCGATGCGGGGCCCGGTCCTCCAAGCGGACGTCGCCGATGCATCGGCTATGTATCGCCGATGCGTTGCGATCCGCCGACCCCTCATGAGAGGCCTCCATTGGTGGTCTGGCGGGGTGCCAGGAGCCCGCTCACTGCCCATTGCTGCTTGAACGGTCTGAGCTTGTGTGGTAGCGGAACATTGAATCTGCTCAGTGAGCCGTGCGTGCAACGGGGAGAACCAGCCGGTACCAACGGAGCAACCAAGCAACGGACCAATTACTTCTCACTCTTATGGCGCCCTTCCGAGGCGCGCAGAGACTCAGTTGTTCCGTTGTGCAGAAGTGCTGTTCAACGGGCCGTAGCTCTTCCCCAGCCGACGTAAACGCCCCATGGCCATGAATTGGCACTCGCTCCGTGGTCTTCCAAAGTCTCACTTGGAGAGCCGATGAGGGAGGATAATGTTCGAAAAGAGGCGAGCTATGGGATTGCACGGCCTGTGTACCTGTAAGTCTAATCTGGAAGCCCCCGTCATTGTCTATGGGCTGGCATTCAGCCTGTCTCTCATTATGAGAGTTGTAAGATCAAAGTCTGTAGAAACGTGCAACCATGACTCTGGGCCAATACACATGGATACTAATCGGATGTGCGCTCGTAATGGCAAGTCGCTGATCTTTGCTGGTGTTTAACGTGTAACCAGTAAGGAGGGCTGCCTGGTTTCTGCCACCCAGCATTATTGTGCAGCGTGGTATCCAGCATGTTAAAGGCGTCCCAGGAGTCTGGATTACCAGTCATACGGAAGAGCCGAGCGTTCATCTTTATGACTGCAATCAGCCGTGCCGATGCCATTGTGGCACAGTCGACGATCAGCAGCGGCAGGTTCAAAGACGACGGGCTACGCAGTAGCCCATCGTCTGAACGAGGAGTTTAGGCCTGATTATGCAGGGTCATGGTCTTTCTGGATGGTCTCTTTGCCTTCTGTCAATGTGCTGGAAGCCTTGTGGGGCCCTTCTCACGCTCCCTCAGATATGATGATGATGCTGCTGATGATGATGATACTGCAACTATTTTTTATTATTGTTATTGCAATTCATAACTCGTACATTATTGTTGTTGCTGTTCTTATTGCTGATAATTGCTATTCTTATCATTACTGGTATTACCATCCTTATTCCTACTGTTGTTCTTGTTGCGATGATGATGGTGATGATGATGATGCTGCTGCTGATGATGATGATGCTTAGTAGTATTATCAGTCTTACTATTTTCATGATTACTGTGATCCGTATACGCATCACTATTGTTATTCGTAGTCGTATTAGCTTTGCCATCCATATAATCCGTATTATTGGCATTACTCATTTTCAGTTTGATATCTATTGTCATTATTACCTGTGTTATTATCATCAATGTTATAATTGTTTTTATCACTATTATTATGTTTCCATTGTTATTGGTATTGCTATTTGTTTTGTTATTCTTATTCTTCGTGTATGGTCTGCGCTGCTGTGTGCCTCTTGAGGCAGTCTCAGGCAATATTGGCGACCTTGCCGGCTCTCCTGGGCCGCAGTGGGAACCGTGGAGTCTCGCAGAGACCCATGGGCGCGTCTGGCCTCCCAGGGAGTCTCGGGCAAGGGGGAGCGGCGCATGCGACGGAGCGTGAGGAGGAGGGGGGGCCTCCCGTGCGATTCACAGAAGCCTAACGCTGCACCAGACAGGGCAGCACTCCGCGACATACCGCGCCTCGGCGTGCAAAGGGGGGCACGGCGGCGGACGGGCCTCCCCCCCTTGACCGTGTGCCAGGAAGGCGTCGGCACCGATCTTGAGCCCGGGGTTGGCCTGGCCAGGATTGGCGCACGTGCACACGGTAGGTTCGCGCCCTCCCGGCGCGGCGGCGACCCCGCCGCGGGCGTTCCAGGTTGAGCGCCGCGGGCGGGGCGGCCTCTTGAAAAGGTACCATGGGCTTCTAAGAAGGCTTCTCAGATGCTGGGCGGGCTCCTCCCCCGTCTTCTTAGAAGTCCCGCCGCCCTTTTGGAAGGCCGCCACCCCTCGCGTCACCCCCTTCTGGGCGCCGCCAACTACGGCAGGTTCGTGTCGTGATCACCCCGGCGTTGGTCTCTGACACCGCGCGGATCGTTCAACCTTGAATTAGCGGCGGCTTCTCGGTCGCCAGATTGTTCCATGTTTGCCAGCGCTGGACCACTGGCGGCGTTTAACCTTGAAGCCCCGCCTCGGGGTGGCCGCCGCGTCGGGGCGACACGAACCTACCGTGTGCACAGACGCCAATCCTGGGCAGGCCCACCCCGGGCGCCGCCAACTTAGGCCTCGGGTTCGGTAGCAAATTATGGGAGCCCTGTACAAACTCGTATTTCCGCTATTCGAATGCACTAGCGCCGATTAGCGTCTTGTAATCGATGAGACAGCGCCGACTTCGCGTGGACTAGCGTAGAGTTTGAGTCGACTATCGTAGGTTGAGCGTCGACCAGCGTCGACTCGTAAAAACCAACGTGGTACGGGAGGCTACCCCGCCGACAACTGCAGAGCGCTTCAGTTGGGATGATGGCTCGCTTGAGGGGCAGCGAATGTGGTGACGCTAACGCAGCCCGCCACTGTAGAGCACTTCCGTTGCGATGATTGCCATTATGAGGGGCAGCAGATCGTTTGATGTTCGCCTCCATCTTCTCCCTTCCAAGAAAGGAAGGGAGGCTCCCATTAGTTGCCACCGAATAAGGAGGACGAGGAGGAGAAGTAGGCAGAGGATGAGGATGAGGGAAAGGAGGAGCAGGAGAAGCAAGATGAGGATGCGGAGGAGGAGGAGGAGGAGAAGGCGGAGAAGGAGGAGGAGGAGGGAGAGGGAGGGGGAGAGGGAGGAATGGGAGGAGAAGGAGGGAGACGGAGAAGGGGAGGAGGGGAAGGAAGGGAGGAGTTGGAGGGGGAGGGGGAGGAGGCGGAGGCGGAGGGGGAGGAGGGGGAGGAGGGGGAGGAGGAGGAGGAGGAGGAGGAGGAGGAGGAGGAGAGAACGGGGGATTGTGGAGCACCTCGTCTGTCGGAGAGTGTTTTCCAGTTTCTCCATCCCCTGTTCCTCCTATTCCTCCTCTTCCTTCTCCTCCTCTTCTTCCTTCTCATCAACCTCCTCCTCCTTATCCTTATCATTATCCTCCTCCTCCTCTTCCTCCTCCTCCTCCTTTCCTCAGAATCGTGTTTTTTTTATTCTCCTGACCCCTCCCCCAAAAAAGAAAACCGCGGAGCGAACCTTTTTTTTTTGGGGGGGGGGGGGGGGGGGAGGGTGGTGGTGGGGCGGGGGGGGGTGCGGCGGTAGAAGGCGAACGCCTGCTCCTTTCTCTCTCACCCGCCCTCGTCCCCCTCCTCTCTCCTCCAGAATTGGGCTCTTCCTCTTCCTGCCCCCCCAAAAAAAAAACAAGAAACGGGATCGCTCCGCGTTTTTTTGCGGGGGGGGGGGGAGGAGGAGAAGCAAAACAACGGTTCTGGGGGATGGAGGAGGAGGGGATTGTGGAGTACCTCGTCTCTCGAAGGGTGTTCTCCCGTTTCTCCATCCCCTGTTCCTCCTACTCCTCCTCTTCCCTTTCCTCCTCTTCCTCCTTCTCATCAACATCCTTATCCTTATCATTATCCTCCTCCTCATCCTCCTCTTCCTTTCCTCAGAATCGTGTTTCTTTGATTCTCCAGACCCCGATCCCGTTTTTTTTTTTTTTTTTTTTTTTTTTTTTTTTTTTTTTTTTTTTTTTTTTTTTTTTTTTTTTTTTTTTTTTTTTTTTTTTTTTTTTTTTTCTGGGGGGGGGGGGAGGGGGGACTCCTCCTCCTCCTCCTCCTCCTCCTCCTCCTCCTTCGCTCCGCTCCGCTCCCTCCTCCTCCTCCTCTTCCTGCCCTTTCCCCTCCTGGCCCCAGAATCTAGCTTTTTGCTTCTCTCCCCCGCCCCCCTCCTCCTCCCTCTCCTCCTCCTCCTCCTCCTCCTCCTCCTGCTCCCCCTTCCCTTAGAATAAGAACTTCTCGTGATTTAGATGATTCGAAAGAGAGAAATACACCGCATGGCATTGCATAGGAATTTGTTTGGCCATGGTTAGACATCGCATTGGCATTGCGTTGGCATAGCGCTTGGCAGAGCGTTGGCAGTGCGATTGCATGTCGCAAGCGTTGCGCTGGCGGTCCCAAATGTAACTCTCCACAAAAGGACTCATATTGAAACCCTGTACCAGAAGGGCTCCTACCGAAACCCTCCCCACACACGGCTCATTCATGTTGAAGCCGTACACGGAAGGATTCCATGCGAAGCCTTCCACATTGATTCCTTTTGAAATCGATCACACATGCGTTCCCCCGTTGGCATTCCATTGGCATTGGGTTCGGATCATCTTGACATTAGGTTGGCATTGCGTCGGCACTGCTTTGGCATTGCGCTGGCATTGCGCTGGCGAGTTCCAGTACCTCCCTTCGCAGAATGTTTCGTATTGCGCCCCACACGAGAAGGATTCCGATTGAAACATTCCACAAGAAGGGCTCATATTGAACCCATTCGAAGCCCTCCATAGAAGAGATCTTATTGAAACCGACCGCAATCGATTGCCCCCAGGCATATCATTGGGATTGTATTGGGATTGCCATCGCATTGGTTTGGCATTGCGTTGGCACTGCTTTGGCGTTGCGATGGCGATTTCTAGTAGCTCCCACCATAGAAGGATTCCTATTGAAACCTTCCACACGGAGGGTTCCTCTTGAAAGCCCCTCGCATGACAGGTTCATGGCAAACCCCTCCACTGAAGGATTATTGCCGAAACCCTCCACGCGGAGATTCCTATCGACATCCTCAGAAGAAGGATCAGTATCCAAATCATCCATATAAGGATATCTGTTGGAATATGTTGAAAGACTGGAAGCATGCCATCGGCATTGCATTGGCA